CTTGCCCCCATATGTGCTCTGAAAGCACTCCAGAACCTCTTGTCCTGAATTGTTGCAGATGCCAGAGGAATCGCAGTATCCTGAATGAAAGGTATTTCTAGGTGCACCATTGTGTAATCCTATAGAAAAGCTAGCTGGTTCTGTAGAGGTAAAATTTAGTATTGTTGGCTAAAATACAAAAAAAAAGAGTAAAGGGCAAATATTCAATGGTTCATAATGTTTAAGTGTGATTGTATTTCAAATAATTCAGCATTGGATTTTCTAAATCCTAATTTTTATAGAAATAATGTACAACTGAAAGGTAAAGAGATAGGACAGGTAGGAGGAAACAAAACAACCAGCCCTCATTGAAAAGGGAATTGATATTTTTTTACAGACATGCTGAATGTTCAGTCTCTTAGCTTTTTTTGTAATGTACAAGTCCATGGGAGATCCTGAACCTCAAATCACAACAGTTCTTATAAATAAATTTTGTTGGAGGTGGTCACTTCTCAAATTAGGTTACAAAAAATGGTATTATATTATGGTAATTTAAGGATACTTCTACTTTTGTGGAGTTTCATAAATTTAACATAAAAACTTCACTTGTTATTATCTTGACTATGAGCAGTCTAAAATAACTCTGAAACTGAAGAACAACATGAAAAAATAAATTATAGTGTAACTGTCAAGGGGAAGAAGGGAATTGTGTAGCTTAGAAGTTACAAGGAAGTTTTTTTTTTAGGACTGCTGCAAAAGTCAAAAGGAACATTGTAGGAAACTTTCAGGTCATTCTAGAATGTGAATGTAATCCAGAAGGAAAAGATTATTACATAAGTTTGGGGTAGACCAAAAAAAGTTTATTTTGGGGCTAATATCTATGGCTGATTATTCAAAAGAGAAAAAAAAATAGTGTGACACGAAGTGAGGAATTGCAGAGAAATAGCTGAAGCCTTACCAAAAGTATGTAGTATACTTTTTATTGGCTTTATAACTTCCTAAAACTAGACTTGTTACTAAGGGAAACAGGAAAGAATTGTGATGCTTTGCATGGTTTGGGGGAAAGGTTGGGAAGAGGATATATGAAGTTGCAATAATGTCAAGGTGGATTTTGGACTAAAAGGAAATTGTGCTTGTGGCAAGATCAGACTTAGAAATCCATCAATAGGTGGAAGGCATTAGCAAACTGGATTTAGTGCAGAGAAGACCAGTGAAATAACTGAAACTGGAAGGACTGAGTGGGAAAAGTAGTGTTAAATGATAATAATAAACTTAGCAGATTGAGTAAACTAATAAAAGGGTGATGTGTTCAGCATTTAAAAAGAATAAACCCACAGAAACATGGTCATAAGTAGGAGCAACAGATAAATGTTGAAACTGAATATCAGGAAACTGTCCCAAGTATTATTCTAAGTAGGTTCAGTCTCCCAAGGGTGGTGGGGAAGCAATGGATCCCCTACCCTCTGACCACCAGGCAGGAGAAGGGGACCTTAGCAACAGAGGGGAGTGGAAACAGGCCATTGCTTAGGGTGACAGGCAAATCCACTCCTGACCTACCTCACCTCCCCAGGTGCCTTTATACAATAGGTATGAGACCCTGAAATCTGAGGACCAGGGAAACAAGAATGTGGATGAAGGTGGTTCTGGGATGGAAGGATAACCTAGGGCAGGGCAATCCAACCAACCTACATCATGACCTGCTCAGTTAAGAAAAAAAGAAAGATAATAGTTATTGGTGACTCCCCTTTGAGACCCTGCAATGCTGACTGGACCCAACTCATAGGGAGGTGTGCTGCCTTCCTGGGGCCTGGGTAAGAGACATCACCAAGAAACTTCCCAGTCTGGTACAGCCCACTGACTATTACCTGCTACTGGTTTTCCAGGTGGGCAGCAACGAAGTCCCAACAAAAAGGCTGCAGATGATCAGGAGGGACCTCAGGGCTTTGGAACAACTGGTTGAGGGATCTGAAGCACAAGTAGTGTTCTCTTCTGTCCTGCCAGTCATAGGGAATGATGGGACAGGAAACAGGAAAACCATGCAGATGAACATATGGCTTTGAGACTAGTGTTACCAGCAGGACTTAGGGGTTTTTGATCATGGGTCAGTTTATACAACACTGAGCTTCCTGGAAACAGAAGGGGTCCACCTGTCTCAAAGGGGAAAAATGATCTTAGCTCAGGAGTGAGCAGGGTTTGTTGAGAGAGCTTCAAACTAGATTGGAAGGGAAATGGACAGGACAGGGTCAGGCTTGACAGAGATAAGGTATGGGAAGGGGAGAACTATAGTTATCGCATTAGTATCAAAAGGAGGCTTAAGAGGGTATACCTCGAGCAATCACAAGCAGCCAAAGATGTAACCATGGGGCATCCCTTTGCCTCCCTACTGGGCTGTTGACACCCTCAAATACTTCTATAAAGTGCCTGTACAGCAATGCATGCAGTATGGGGAACAAACAGGGGGAACTAGAGATCTGTGTGCAGTCACAGGGCTTTGACCTCATTGCCATTTCAGGGACATGGTGGAATAGCTCACATGACTGGAATGCTGCCATGAAGGGCTACACACTGTTTAGGAGAGACAGACCAGGAAGACGTGGTGGTGGAGTTGCCCGCTATGTGAGGCAACACGTGGAATGTATTGAGCTCTGTCTTGGGGTAGATGATGAGTGAGTCTGGGTAAGGATGAAAGGGCAGACTAGTAAGGGTGGCACTGCTGTGGGTGTTTGCTAGAGGCCACCTGATCAGGAGGAGTAAGTGGATGAGGCCTTCTACAGGCAGCTTGAAGTAGCCTCAGTCATAGGCCCTGGTTTTTGTGGGGGACTTTAACTACCCTGACATCTGCTGGAAAAGCAACAGAGCAATGCACAAACCATCTAGGAGGTTCCTGTAAAGCACTGATGACAACTTCCTGACACAGGTAGTGGAGGATCCCACAAGGAATGATGTGCTGTTCCACCTCATACTGACTAAGGTCTTGTTGGAGATGTGAAGTTTGGGAGCAGCCTTGGCTGCAGTGACCATGAGATTGGGGAGTTCAGTATTATGTGAGGAAGAAGTAGGACAGCAAGTAAGATCACAACCATGGACTTCAAGAGAGCTAAATTTAGCCTCTTCAGGAATCTTCTTGGAAGAATCCCATGGGAACAGGCCCTGCAGGGAAGAGAGGTCCAAGAGAGCTGGTCAATATTCAAGCATCCATTCCTCCAGGATCAAGAATGGTGCATCATGATCAGTAAGAAGTTGGGCAAAGGGGGCAAGAGACCTGCATGGATGAACAAGGAACTCCCACCATTACTCAAGTGTAAGCAGGAAATACGCAGGAGATGGAAGCAGAGTCTGGCCACTTGGAATGAATATAGAGAGATTGTCAGAGTAAGTAGAAATGAGACGAGGAAGGCTGAGGCCCATCTGGAATTAAATCTGGACAAGGATGTCAAGGACAGCAAGATGGTTTCTTCAAAGACATCAATAACAAAAGGAAAACTAAGGCTAATGTGAGCCTGTTACTAAATCCAGGGGGGGAACCTGATAACAGAGGATGCAGAGAAGGGAGTTACTTAACACCGCCTTTGCATCAGTCTGCACCTACAAGACCAGACCTCAGGAATCTCTGACCCAGGAGACCAGGGTAAAGGAATGTTGGAAGGAAGACTTTCCCTTGG